ACCCCATTGCAAAGTATTTTGGGGGGAATCACCATGATTATTTTAGTTGCAGTTACAGTGTAATATGTCATGTGTGGTTCCACTGAGGTTGTATTGACCTAATTTTCAGACCTGTTAAGGACACGGTGATTTTTTATTATGTCATGATATGTAAAAACATAAAATTCAAAGAGGGGGTACTTTTTTTACATTACTGTATACAGAATTTTCAATCACATACACTGGCTACACCACTTTCATTCCTGAAATTGTCTGCATAGGATGTTTGCATAATATTCAATGGGCAAAATCCTGTTGCCCATGTGAATTTTCCCAACTCCTTATCAACATGTCGCCGAGATAAGCACAGTTCCTTTCTTTGGGGCGCAAAACTTCCCATGAATGTCTGGCATCAGCAATAATAAGGGGAAAATGTTCCACATGCAGAAGATCCCAAGTTCCATTTTCTGGCTCCTTAAAGTATTAAGTAGCCTGTTTCCAGCCCCAGAGATCCTTCATGTTACCTCCAATTGCATAGACCATGCCTCCTACCACTGCAACTCCCAGCCCACTGCGAGCCTGGTGCAAGGAAGACACAGTAGTCCAGTACTGACTGAAAGTATCAAAACGCTCCACACAACTGAGAGCTCTGCTGTCACTCCAACGGCCTCCCTGTAAGCGAGTGTAACCACCTTTTCAAGAAGCAGAGAAGACACAAATGATTAGCTGCCCAAAAGCATTTTCTCAATATTTCAGGTTTTAAATATATCTGAATACTAATGAGGATCCCTACCTACTGCATAAAGGTACTTCCTGGCTTTCCTCCGGGGACGAGCTTTAGTTGCCTGCAGGAAACTGCTAACCTTGTTCTCTTTGGGAGATTTGCACACTTCACAGTATTCTTTCAAGAGAGTTTGAAGAGCTACTCTAAGACTGAAATCAGGAACACCTTGGGAAGGAAAAAAAGGGAAATGAAACATTTTGTTATAAACAATCTACAAATAAAAGATATGCATGCAATCTGAGTGATTTCATTTTCACTGTAGTTTGTCTCCATTCAAAGAACAGTAGATTCCAAAAAATCTGAAAATATTAAATACATGTCCCTTTCTTCTTACTTGTTTAACCTCAACTACTGAAAGCAGAATAAAGCAAAATGCCATATAGCCTTTCTGATTTTCTTTAGCTGATGGAAGGAAATTATCTGCAGGCTCCTAAGCTTATATTTCTGCAGTTGGGTACATCACTGTTGATCTCTGTGAAAGGTTGAGATTAAACAATGTAGTCATAGTATACTGAATTTGGTATGAGCTTTTACCCTCTAATAAGTACATCAGTTTTTCCCATCAATATTTCAATTACAATACAGTGGTGCCCCGCTGGACGATTACCCCACTTGACGACGAATCCGCTTAATGTTGAAGTTTTTGCGCTCGCAAACAATGTTTAGATGGAGGAATTTCGCTTAACGTTAATCGGTTCCCTGCTTCAGGAACCGATTTTTCTCTTTACGACGATCAGCAAACAGCTGATCGTCGGGTTTCAAAATGGCCACCGGCTGTAGAAAATGGCTCCCTGCTGTGTTAGGGACGGATTCCTCACATTACAGACACCAGAAAATGGCTGCCGTATGGAGGATCTTTGCTGGACGAGCAGATATTTTGCCCATTGGAACGCACTGAATGGTTTTCAATGCATTTCTATGTTTTTTTCGTTTGACAACGATTTCGCTCTACAGCAATTTCACTGGAGCGAATTAACATCGTCAAGCGAGGCACCACTGTACTGTAATTCAGTAACCACATAAGAATAGGTTAGGCACTTACTCCATAATTCCTCTGCCTTACCTCTCTTCCTGACCAAACTGTCAGTATTCCATGTTCTCCTTCAGATGAAAAGATATCCAGTGCTTCCTTGCCTGTGAAAAGTGAAATGCCACGATGTTCTGCATCATGTTGCAAGTTATTTCTAGTAGAACCCGATACTACTCACAGCTGGAAATTTCCAAATAATTACAGTAGTACCTGGGGTTCCAATGTGGCAGGGGTTTTCGATCAGCCATTTTCGATCACTGTCTTCCGGAAATAGGTCCGGAAAACAGCGGGCGGCCATTTTGAAAACCCGACGATCAGCTGTAAAGATCGTCGTGAAGCGAAAAATCGGTTCCCGAAGCAGGGAACCGATCGTCGTAAAGTGGATTTTCCCCATTGAAACATCGTTTTGCAATCACTATAGCGATCGCAAAAACCTCATCATTGAGCAATTTCAGCGTCAAGTGGTGTAATCGTCAAGTGGGGCACCACTGTAATGAGATCTGAGGCAAGGCTCCCTTTGCTAGGATATCCATGTTTATAGCTACTAAGTGTTCACAAACTCAATACTTGGAGCCCACAATGGATTAGTGAATGGCATGAAACTACACAAAGAACAAATTCACATAGTATCCTACACTCAGTTACCTTCTATGTACTTCAGGAGTCTTTGCGGAGGTAGCAATGGAAATCTAACTGTATCCAGTATTTCCACGACATATTTCTTTCTCTTCCCAACATCCTTCAGAATCCACTGCATTGCAGCTGTGAAAACTTGGTACTCATCTTCTATGCTCAGCTCTTCACTTCGCAAAATCTTAATAAGCTGGTCTTTTGTCAGGGCTAGGAATTCTTCTCCATTGTGTATGTCCAGGAAATGGGCATGAATGTAATTCTCTGTAAATTCGAGCAGATCATGGCAAGCAATTTGCTCAGAGAACTGGAAGAGCCCAATGCAGTTCACAGGATCTATCTGTCCCTTTAGAAATTCACAGCAAAGGTCCACCACTTCTGTAAGCTGGAACATGTCTGCTGCCACAATCAATTCCTGGACATTATTCTCGCCAATATTGACTATGCCTGAATATATAAAGGAGATCAATTTTCAGCTGGTATAAAATATCTTCAAAATGACAACATATAGCTTTTCCATAAAAATGGTGATTGTCACTTGAAAGGTATGGCTGTACACGAACATCAGATTACTATTATCTTTTTTTAAACTTTTTTTAAAATTAACATCCATAGTATGACAATGCAAGTTAGAATAATTGTAGTACAATACAATCACATTACACAGTCTATCAGCACATCTTTCTTTACACATTCACAATATTTTAACATTACTTAATTCTTTTAAAATATTATTTATTTAACTTATATGCCGCCCACTCTACCCAAAGGTCTCTGGGTGGCTTACAACAATTAAAATTCAATTAAAATACAATACTTCCCATTTCACATTCTTTTTTTCTTGAGCTAATTCCACATGTTAATAACGGTTGCCAGGTTTTCATAAATTTATCTTGTTTTATTTCTCCTCTGTATATTTTAATTTGATTGGTCAACTTTTCCATCAGGACCATTTGCCAAATTCCGTTCTCGAATTTTTGTACTGAAAGATCTTGAGCATTTCTCCAGTTTTGTGCAATTTCAGCTCTTGCTGCACCAATAAGGTGTGCAATTAGGTCTTTATTAAATTAATTTTTCATTTCCATCCTTAAATATTGAAAATAATAATAAAGCTTAATTTTTAATTATTTTTTGATTCAACAATATTTCTATCCATGTAATTATTTCCTGCCAATATGCTTCCACTTTGGGACAAGAGATCCACATATGTTCTAGTGTGCCTTTATTTCCACAGTTTGTTTGTTTGTTTGATTTATATCCTGCCCATCTGGTCTGGTCAGTTTCTCCAGCACCTGAGATTTCTCCATTAATTTTGAGTAATTTTGTGGGGTGCCAATATCATCTATGAACCACCTTCAAAACCATTTCTTCTGAAGTTATTCCCTTCCTTTTACATATTTCAATCTTTTTCTACACTATATTGTTTTAGTTCTGTGAGCAGTCTCATAGGTCCGGAACTGTGGTATAAATGAGTTGCCAAATTTCTTACCTGTATTAATTGTAGCCAATTAGTTTTTTGTTTGTTTATTTGTTTTTTTAACCAAACTCCAGGAGGCAGTGGAAGACAGGAGGGCCTGGCATGCTCTGGTCCATGGGGTCACGAAGAGTTGAGCATGACTTAACAACAAGTTTTCATTTCCTTTGTTTTGTCCTCTAAATGTCTAATTGTCATTGGTTTCCCTGCGTCAAATAGGTCTCTTATTCTATAAATTCCAATTCTTTTCCACTTTTTGAATTGTATATATTTTTCTCTTGATTTTAATTTCAGATAGTCCAGCATGGGGCATAGAGGAGATATAGGCAAATAATCTCATGTATTTACTATTATCTTAAGAGTTGAACCCATAGTAATTTTAAATGAATCCATTAGGAACTGTCAATATGGACACACTTTCTCATGTCTCCTAAATGATCAAAGGTTTCTCCACAGATTGCGGATGATAAAGCATCCAGTGCTAGGGTAATAAAGCACTAACTAACTCTACTCTCATTAAAGAAGCTATAGACAAGACAGTAAATCAATAAGAAAATGTAAGATTTGAACATTCCTGCACCTCTCTCCCCAAATTCCTGCACAGAAAATATGTCAGAAAGAAAGATTGACTAGAACCCTTCTCCCACATGTGGGCAACAGGAAATTGTTTTTGTATGGGGAGTGTTCAGATGTGTGAATCTCCAACTTCAAATAAAGTGGTGAAGTGCAGATTGAAATATATTCTGAGGAACAGAAACTCTGTATTCTTCATAGCTACTGCTGTGCATCCCAACTCAAACTGCCTTTACTTGCATGGAGTCCCATTAATTGCAGTGGGGAATAAATTTTAGATGCATGACTTAAATTGTATTCTAAATATTACTCAGTAGAAGTAATTACTCAGGTCACCTAGAAGCAGCTAGGGATACCAAAACTGGGTGGAGAAACAGTATATGACCAAATAACTTATTTGCCTATCAATGAAGACCTTCTGAAATACAGTAACAGGGAGGGGGTAGCCTATAAAACTATTAGTGGTAAGAGGTAAAACAGTAAGCAGCCATTGAACTGAAATAGTTCATTCTCAAATATCCATGTCACTAAGGCCTTACTACAAAACTTCGTAAGAAACAGCTTACCTGTGTAAATAAAGTCCAAGAGGATCTGAAAGATGTCAGCATCCACACCTAGTATCCCTACAACATCCTTTGAAGACTCTCTCATCCCTCCTGCAAACAGAGCTGCAAAATAAGGGCTACTTGCAGCCAAAACCAGCCGGTGGACCTTAAACACATCTTTTCCAACTTGGAGCTGCACGTCACAGAAGTGCTGACCACATCTCATCTTGTTGATCTGGGCCAGTATAAGGCGAGCATGTCTGTCTGCCAAAAAAGGGGACTCATTTGTACTGGGACCTGCCACACAAGCCATGACAGGGTCACAGAAAATTTGAATGACTCATGTCCACTATTCTTTGAAGTTGACCTAGGAAGGACAAATTAAAATTAAAGCTCTAAATACAAAGTTAGTGTAATCATACACATTTTCTGCAGCTTTAATCAACTATAAATCCAAATACGTAATCTGATTAAACTAAAGACACTTCCTGATATCAGTACTGTATCTGTGATCTCAATCCAGCAATGGTCTGAAATTCTGTGTTTGTGATTATAAAAGAAGAAACTGCCGGAATGCTGATTAAATGATAGTTTTCCTTACGGTTACACCAAACAATTACGTATTTAGCTGCCACTTCATTGCATTCTTATTACTTGGTGGTTTAGGTATCTGGCTGCAGAGCCAGAGACTGGACATTCAATTCACCACTGTGCCTCCTGTGAGTAGAGCCAGCCGTGGGCAAGCTGCATAATCCCAGGGTGACCCCAGAAGAAGGGAATGGTAAACCACTTCTGAGTATTCTCTATCTAGAAAACTCTAAAAAGTGTCACCATAAGTCAGAATTGACTTGACACCACACAAGTATTATTGTTTGCTCTTACTTCTTCCAAGCTTCGCTTTGGAAGCTCCATTTTGTAAAATTTATTCTAAGTACAGATATCTTGTTACATCCATTTCTGGGCTGGCTACAAGGAACATACAACTCCTGTTTCATCAGCCTCATGTCTGTTGGTTCATTTCTGGGCACAACTCAGAGTGCTGGTTGTGATCCACATGGACCTACCCAGGTTTTGCTCAGTAGTCAGTTTCTCAAGCCAGTCTTAAAACACTATGATATCCAGGCATGGTTTTCTTGAGAGGGTGGAGGATGGGGCAGGGGAGTGTGCGCGCCCCCACACACATAATAAACTTGGTATTTCTTTAAATTCACACAGAAGAAAACAACAATCTGGTCAACAAACTATAGGCATCATTAATAAACAGTACCCCTGCCATCAGTTCTACAGAAGCCCTTGCATCCAGCTAATGTCAATAGGATTACAGCCCATCCTTAATTTAATATCAATTCAAAGACCACGACACAAAAAATACTGTACACCATTTCTGCGGAAAAGCTAGGAAGACCCGGACATCCGATTACGGTTCATTTTATAAACAGCTTTTGAGGGAAATAGGAGGAGCTTTGGGCTTTCCACGTGATCATTACAACAGGAGCGATATATGGGGCGAGGCGGGGTGTGTGTGTGTGTGATGCCGCAGGCAAAACTTAATGAAACTCCGGCAATACTGTACAATTATTTATTGCTTTTGAATGTTTTTTAAAAGAGCTCCTAAGGTTCAAGCCCCGCTGCAGGTTGGAGGCAGGCCCCGGATAAGCCTCCGGCCTTCGCCATCGCCCGCACTTCTTGAGGGCTACAGACATTCGGGAGAGAGTGTGAAGCTCTTGCCCGTTTCGTTACTTACTCACGAGGAGACCGGAGCTCCCTGCATAAGGACAAGCTGGGAACACCTGCGCCTGGCAACAGCGGCGTCACCCCAAAGAAGCCGACCGGGAGAGGCGCTCCTTTTCTTTTGGGAGCCGAAGGCACTAAAAGGAGAGGAAACCGTCCATCCACCCTGGAAGCAGGGGGAAAGGCACACGGTCCTCACACGGAAATTTCCCATCCATGTACTGTACACTTTCCGCCAGCCGGGCAGCGCGACAGGCACCGAAGGGGACGGGTTCGCGACGGAGGAGGAGGAGGAGCCGGGGGGGGGCCGGCCTTGTGCACCCGAGGCGCTCACGTCACCGGGCACCAGGCTAATGGGAGCTGGCGGCGTCCCGCCTGGTTGGTAGAGCTGTGCGAGGACGGAAACAACAACCGGCCCTTGCGGTGCGGAGGGAGCGGGAAGCGCCTGAAAGCCGGGCTCCTTTGCCCGGCCCGCCTACAGGCAACGGAAGGGCCTGCCTTCTGAGGGGAGCCTCTGCGGTTCCAGGAAGAGAGGGAAAGGCGGTAGCGAGCGCGGTTACTCCTAGTACAGAGAGTGAAGCTCTGTTCTCTTAATACGTTGAATTTTCTTCTGAGTCTTGTTGTGTTGCTCTAGCCTTTGTTATTCGGATGTTTTTGAACTGCAACTCCCAGAAACCCCAGCCAGCACAGTTAATGGTGAAGGCTTCTGGGAGTTGCAGTCCAAAACTCCTGAGTAACCCAAGGTTAAGAACCAGTGCGTCTAGCCGGGCAATACTAGGATACGCTCTGTGAGAGAAATGGTCCCAGCTCGTCAGCGTCCTGTGTCCCAATATTGTCGAGGCTTTCTGTGAGTGAAAAATGTCCCAGTTTTTTCCTCATATCCCCTCTCCCGATACTAAGTTTATACAGTACAGTATTTTACACATTAATGAGAGTTCATGTGATATTTCACAAGCTTTAGCTGTCATGAGCTTTTGTGGACTACAGCCCAGGTCTGCCGGTCGGTTTCTTTATGTGGAATTTCAAAAACAGAATGCCGCTGGAAAACATTGTACTGTATCTCTATTTCACTGAGTTATTTATAAAAATTGAAGCAAGGATGGACAGACTACATAGTCATTCCTGAGGAACTCTGGGGAAAATAATACCTCCTAAATTGTTCCAATAAATCTTACAAAAGACGGCAAGGTGTTCTTGCTGTTAGGACTTCAATGGTGAAATTTGTTCCTGTTAATCTGCCTGTAGGTGTACATGAAGCTGGATGGATAGCTCAGTGAGAGGGGCACCTCCTTGAGGAGCTAGAGGTTGGGAGTTAAATTCCCCACGGTGTGTCTTTGGGAAAGAGACAACCTGTGTGGTTTTGGACAAACCGCACAATCTCACGACACTTCCAGATAAAGGTAATGATAAACGGCTTCTGAGCATTCCATACCTAGAAAACCCTGAAAAAAGTCACCATAAGTCAGAATTGACTTTATATAATTATTTATTTATGTACATTAACAATATTATATTGTTTTTTTCTGTCCTAGTTCATAAAACACTTTACCAGGTATACAATACTATTGCAAAGTAGTATTGGGTTTTTTTTTAGCCATCAGTTTTGAATGGATTTTAAATTTTGTGCTGTAATCATGCTGTAATTTTTTTTTTTACTACTTGTGGCACACAGTCAATTGTGGCCTAATCACAGTTGTATGATATGTGGTTTAAAGATTTTGCAGCCCAGGACCATCATTTGCAGTGCCAAAGATTCACAAGTGAGAGAGACACCAAATTTTCCTAGCAAGAGAAAAGAATCCATATTTCTCTATTATGATTGAGGAACTGCTAAATATTAAACCAGAAGAGGCTAGGCTAAATCTGTAGAGAGCAAAAAAATACAAATCTTGCTGAATGGATGAATCCCGAAGAGTGGACAGCGTTCATCCAGGACAAGATTCTGGCTGGACCATCTGGAAGTCACTTATTAAACTTTGAAGCAAAGTAGGAAGATCAAATCAAGGAAAATTAGGCTATTTGGATACAGGACAAATTTTCTGTGACTGTGGAGAAATTCAAGCAATGCAGCATTTGTGTGTGTGTGTGTAATTTGTGCCCCACCATGTGTAAATGTTACATGTTTACTAAAAGAAGTGAGATAACACTATTGAAGTTGTCTGATTCTAGTCAAAATAGTCTAATTGTTTTATTTTAATATTTTAAATCTGTTTGCATTTATCTATACAGTATTTCATAAGTGTCCATAGTTTTAAATTGTGGTATGAATAAAGAAAGATGATAAGATGGATACTTCCAGCAGGGGGCATAACTGCAGCATGCTTTAAATATATATTGATACTATAACTATGGGTTGAACAGTTGTGGAAGTTGCTTGCCATAGTATTTTATTTTAATGGAAAGAACATGTGAATACAAGCTTTCAGACTGATTTAACAAATTAACAGTGCATCCTGATACTGTACATACTTTCCCATGAATAAGTCTGATTTAATTTGGCTTTCTTTAAAGCTTACATGCATAGGACAGTGTTGAAAAATATTATTAGCCGTCCCCTTCATGGATTGCTGCCTTGTCATGGCGAAGGGGCTTGAGTAAGTCATGGCTATGCCGTGCAGGGACATCCAAGAGGGACAGGCCATAGTGGAGAGTTCTGACTAAAGGCAATCCACCTGGAGTAGGAAGTAGCAATGCCACTCCAATATCTTTGCCAAGAACACCCCATGATCAGAAACAAAAGGCTAAAAGATATGATGCTGGAAGATGGGCCCCTCAGGTCGGAAGGCGTCCAACATGCTACTGAGGAAGAGCGGAGGACAAGTACAAGTAGCTCCAGAGCTAATGAAGTGGTTGGGCCAAAGCCGAAAGGATCCTGAGCTGTGATCATGCCTGGAAGTGAAAGGAAAGTCTGATGCTGCAAAGAAAAATACTGCATAGGAACCTGGAATGTAAGATCTATGAACCTTGGGAAGCTGAAGGTGGTCAAACAGGAGATGGCACGAATAAACATTAACATCCTGGGCATCAGCGAACTAAAATGGATAGGAATGGGCGAATTCAACTCAGATGATTATCATATCTACTATTGTGGACAAGAATCCCGTAGAAGGAATGGAGTAGCGTTCATTGTCAACAAAAGAGTGGGAAAAGCTGTAATGGGGGTATAATCTCAAAAATGATAGAATGATGTCAATACGAATTCAAGGCAGACCTTTCAACATCACAGTAATCCAAGTTTATGCACCAACCACAAATACGGAGAAGACTGAAATTGAACAATTTTATGAAGATTTACAACACCTTCTAGAACTGACACCAAAGAAAGATGTTCTTCTCATTCTAGGGGACTGGAATGCTAAAGTAGGGAGCCAAGAGATAAAAGGAACAACAGGGAAGTTTGGCCTTGGAGTTCAGAACGAAGCAGGACAAAGGCTAATAGAGTTTTGTCAAGAGAAAAGGAAATGCAAGAAAGCAAAGTGGCTGTCCAGCGGGGCCTTACAAATAGCAGAGAAGAGAAGGGAAACAAAATGCAAGGGAGATAGGGAAATACACAGAAAATTGAATGCAGATTTCCAAAGAACAGCAAGGAGAGACAAGAGAGACTTCTTAAATGAACAATGCAAAGAAATAGAGGAAAATGATAGAAAGGGAAAAACCAGAGATCTATTCAAGAAAATTGGAGCTATTAAAGGAACATTTTGTGCAAAGATGGATATGATAAAGGACAAAAATGGGAGGGACCTAACAGAAGACATCAAGAAGAGGTGGCAAGAATATACATAGGAATTATATCAAAAAGATTTGGATATCTCGGACAACCCAGATAATGTAGTTGATGACCTTGAGCCAGACATCCTGGAGAGTGAAGTCAGGTGGGTCTTATAAAGCGTAGCTAACAACAAGGCCAGTGGAGGTGATGGCATTCCAGCTGAACTATTTAAAATCTTAAAAGATGATGCTGTTAAGGTGCTACATTCAATATGCCAGCAAGTTTGGAAAACTCAACAGTGGCCAGAGGACTGGAAAAGATCAGTCTACATCCCAATCCCAAAGAAGGGCAGTGCCAAAGAATGCTCCAACTACCATCATTTTTATCATCTTATAGACACAAAATTTCAAATATTGACAGACAGGCTCATAAACTGCTTCTTTTTTATTAGGAATAACAGAGAGAAAGAAAACTATCTAGTAAAAACAAACAGAAACTAACACAGCCTTCCTTTCACACACACACCTCCCAGATGAAACAAAAGTCACATCTGATGAGAGTCTAGTCTGTGTAGGTAAGTACTAGAGAGGGAAGCAGACTGCTCTGTTACACCTTCTGGAAAAATATAGCCAATATATACCACAAGTTCTGCTGTTATGGTGATCAACAACAGGATGAAGGACCTTGTTGCAGCTTGAAAGATTACCAAGTTTTGTTTGGCATCAGCTTTTATGGACTGTAGCTTATTCCTTCAAATATACCGTATCCAAAGAGTTATCTTACAACCTTGAGGTGTTCCAAATCTATTCTAAATTTCTGCTGCAACAGGCTAACAGTTCTACTCCCCAGGAAATTTCTGCAACAGCCCTGGGATTTTCTAATTAATTTCTTCCTATACATTCATTTCCAGTTTGCTTTGCAGAAGTTGCTTGTTGTGCTGAGAATGTTATGTTTTTATCTGCTGTTCATGCAAGGGCAGCCAATCAACTCCACTCTGTTGCTGGATGCTACTGTGTGATCTCCGCATAGTGATTCAGGAGTCACTACATTTTAGCAATCATCAAGGAATAAGAAGGTTTTACAAATGTGCAGCTCATGACTTGAAGCATTGCAAATAGCACTTTAAAATGTTGTATTCATGTAGAGAGTCTATCACAATTTTTAGGAATATTTTAAATGTCTTTTTACCCCACCTTGATTTGGTAGGAGGCCAGAGATCAATTGATAGGCCATATCTGGGTTCTGGGATGGTTTTGGCTCTAAATGAGACCTGAGTAGCAGCTTTTCTGACTTCTATAGCAATATGAGATGATAAATTGCATCTGCCACAATTCTCTTCTACATTGTGCCTTGGATTCTAAAGTACTGTATGTTAAATTGTGGAAGCAAATTTTCCCATCCCTTTTTCCACTGGCTTTTGGGTGATTTCTTGCCCCCCTAGCAGTTCCCCCACCCCTCCTTCATCATTGAGATTTGTCCCTCAACATTGAGGTTTGTCCCTCAATTTTCATGAGGCACAACTGGTTACAGACAAGGGGTCATGATAGTTTGTTGGTGCCACTGATTCTTTTTCAATGTTCTTGCCACATTATTGCTTTTTGTGTTAAATTTTAGTGTTCTGTTGTGTAGTTTTGTTTTTAATTAGAGATGGGGGTATTCGTATACAAATATGAATACCCCTGCAAAGCTGGGACTTAACAGCTTGAGTCCCAGGTCCTGGACCTTGCACTCATGTGTCCAGCGGTGGCAGCATCCTCAGTCAGGCTTCCAATCGCTCCAGGAGCCCTGCTCTCTTTCCACTCATCTAGCCAACTCCAGGCGGGGGGTGGGGGAGGACAAGTCTCCCTGCATGGCTGCTGAGTGGCTAGATGAGTGGAAAGAGAGTGGTGCTCCGGGAGTGATTG